ACAGCTGTGTATCGCCTACCATTCAACTCTGAGTTCCCTTTAAGCTCTGAGAAAGGACACGTTCACAACATTATGCAACAGAATAAGATTGTCATAAAAGAAAAAATATATTCTTCATTAAACTAAGATGTTTATTCCGGTATGCTTCAAAGTAAGCTTTTATAAACTTTCATTAAACTTTGGAAAATGATTCAGTGGCGGTTCTAGACCAAATGTACCAGGGGGCCAGGAGGGGGGTTGCATGAAGTGAAATTTCTTTTCAATAAGGTTTAATTTAAATTAAATATCTTATGAGGTCAATATACATTCATAATTTAGGAAATTTTACATATTTTTGACTTATTTTAAGTTAAAATTACTGTTTTCTATCAAATCTGAATTAGAACTCAAGAAAAACTCCGCTGTAAAAATTAGAGTATTTTTTTTTTTAATATGTTTTGAAGAAAACATTTAGCAGATGAAAACTGGGGTCCTATCTCAATACCACTGAAGCTAACAATGTCTGTTCCAGCGCATATCATCATTAGAACTTCTTTGGCTATGTTCACACTGCAGGCCTTGATGCTCAATTCCGATTTTTTTGTGAAATTGATTTTTTTGCGTTGCCGTTCATATTTCCAAATATATGCGACTTGTATGTGGTCTCCTGTGTGAACTGCAGGCATACAAAGCAAGTGTCCCCCATGCGCAGTACAGGACGCAATGACATCACAGACCAGCATGCTCTATGTTTACGGAAGTAAACATGGATGGTAGTGCCAGCGCGCATCTAGCTGTCTTTTCCAACATAAATACTGCTCTCTTCATGGTTGTTGTTTTTCTTGCTGTTTCTGTGTAGCAAGACACAGAATAGTGACCTTTGTCAGGTATTAATGGCGTTCAGGTTGGATGAATCCGACCTGGCCGTTCAGAAACAGGTCGCATTTGAAAAAATTTGATTTGTATCGGATTCAGGACCACATAGCCAAGTGGCCTGGGTCGCATTGGAAAAAATCAGACCTGTGTTGTTCAGCCTGTTAGGAAAAGATCAGATCCAGGTCGCATATTGGCCAAAAAAATCGGATTTGGGTCACTTCAGGCTGCAGTGTGAACGTAGCCTTTGAGTATTATGTCTTCAGCACAGGGGCCATAACAGGGGCCAGGACATGATCTACAGGGGCACTGCTGGTCTATAAATCAGCTGGTCTGCTGGTCTATAAATCACTGAATAGAGCACCTCAATACATAGCAGTTTGTTTTCAGTGCATCAACCTCCCAGACCACTCAGGTCTTTTAGTTCCTGCCCACTCTATTCACCCAGAACTAGAGCCATCATGGATAAGCAGCATTTAGTTCCTAGGCTCCACTGATCTGGAATAAGCTCCCAGAAGACTGGAAAAAAGCTGAAAGTTAGAAACCCATTTGTTTAGAGCTGCCTTTGACTGCTGAAGTTAAACTGATCACTGAGGTATCTTTAGTTTAAGTTTGTGGCTTACTGTTATATATGTTTTTCTAACTGCGTTTATAATGTTTTCCTTTTTAATTGCTCTATTCTGTTTTTATATTCCTTCCAGGTTTTTGTTTAATTCATGTGCTCATGAAATATTTTTATTATTTTGAGCTTACATGGAGTTTCTATTGGTGTCTGAGTTGAGCTAGATTTTGAGCTAGAAAAGTTAAAAAACAATCTACTGGATTTAGTTTTTCCAAGTTTGAAGACGTTTCTCTTCCCACAGACTGCCACTCTGGGTCCCTGAGCAAGAGCCTTAACCCCACACTGCTCTCCGGGCGCCGCACAATGGCAGCCCACTGCTCCCCAAGGGGATGGGTTAAATGCAGAGAAGTAATTTCCCTCTGGGATTATTAGAGTATGTAAAAATAAAAATCATCCAGGAAGCTTTTTTCAAATCAAAATGTCAGAAATAGCGTTGAGTTTGAGGCTTTATAGAGTGGAGCAAAAACAAAGCCTTGTTTTGGCTTAGATGGCAGGCGCTTCTGAATACCCATAAAATCCATGGTGAGAGTAACGCTCAATTGTTTGCTAGGTTGGACCCATTCAACATGCATGCGCTTGACGTCAAATCCACCGAACAGCGCAGGAACATCAGACCTGAAAGGATAATAGGCTACAAGCTTATAGCTGCATCTGCTGTGAACTACTGAGGTCTCAGTCTGCTCATCAAACAATGTTTTAGTCATAAAGGGCAAAAAAGAGGGCTGTTTAAAAAGAACATTTACAGTAAATTTCAAAAGATTAATTATCAAATTGATCAGAGGGACGGATTATATATGGTCTCATCTGTTGGTACATATCATAAAATATGAATTGGGTTTTACACTTTAAAACAAATCTAAACAACTTATCATTTCATAAAATCAGTGTATTTGCCCTTAATTTAAGGATGTTGATTAGATGATCTGCAAATAGAATAAATATTTTTGCTCTTCAAAAAGATAATTAAGTTTTATACACCTGGAATAAGAAGTTGTGGTTGTTTTTATTTTATATTCAACATAAATCATCTTATTCCATAAGGAGAGCCCACCTGCCCTCACCATCTTCTACAGAAGCACCATAGAGAGCGTTCTGATCAGCTGTCTCACTGTGTGGTGTAGAGAGGTTATCATCGGGGATCCTCTTTCCTCCATTAAATACATTTCATCCCAGTGGTGCGTGTGCCGAGCCCGTAACATCATCAATGACCCCATCACACCCCCACCATGGACTGTTCTCCCTGCTGCTCTCTGGGAAGATGCTCCTCAGCATCCGATGCAGGACCAGCAGATTCTGTAACAGCTTTTCCCCTCCGCCGTCACACTGCTAAACTGTTGAAAAAATAAAAAATAAATCTAGTCACAAATCGGGACTCTGCATCACACCAATAACATCAAACCAAATAGAACTCAACTCGGAAATGTTTTTTTTTTACAGCATTTTTGCACAATTTATCCACTATACCTTTTATTTAGAAAGCATGGGTGTTTAAATATATGCGTATATTTGTTAGCAAAGGCTGTAGGAAAGTATAGTTTGTCTTTATTTAGAAAATAAGGATGTTTTGCCTGTTCATTTTCCTGTTGGAACAGTGTAGATTGACTTTGAGGTTCTGGCGCCACCCCTCAGTGTACATTGGTTATTGCCTGGCCACCCTTATAAAAATGTTCTGGCTACGCCTCTGCAGGGATGGAGCTAGATGGGGGGCCAGAGGTGGCCATGGGCACCCTTAGCCAATCATTGGCAACCCCTACCTTTTTTTTTTCACACTGTAATACAGATGGCAGCAGTAATACTCTGAAGGGGAGTGTTAAAACTTATTAAACATTTAAATTTTTCATATATTAACAATTACTTAACAACTAAAACACAGTGCACATCAAAATACTAACATTAAAGTTGATATATAAAGAACTCATATACAGAATATTATGTCTTTGTTAGTCATCTACGAGTCTTCAGTGAAACCATAGATAAATAACTACTTTAATAATTACTAAAACATCCACTTAATGTAATTATTAGTACATGTAAATATTAATTTTATGCAAAACAATTTTTGATAAAAGTAGGTAATGACAATAAAAAAGATGTTCACCCCAGAAATGTTGTGCACTATACCTTTTATTTAGACAGCATGGATTTTTAAATATATGCGTCTACTTGTTAGCAAAGGTTGCTGAAAAGTTTAGTTTTTCTTTATTTAGAAAATATGGATGTTGTGCTCATTCCTGTTGAAACAATGTAGGCTGACTGGGAAGTTCTGGCGCCTATCTGCTTTCGGCCACCCCTCAGTGGCCACTATTATTCAAATTTTCTGGCTACGCCTCTGAGCCTCTGGCTGTATTGTAAATTATAAACATGATATTCACATACTCACATCTAATTGTTGGTAGGGACAGGTAGGTCGGTCCAAAATATTGGTAGGAGCATGTCCCTTTGCAAACCTACGCTCTGAATTATGAATCTTTTTACAGCAGTTACTCATGAGAAGAGGTGTGGGTGTAGGATGTTTGTGCTATAGACGATCTCTGCACGTGAAGCCTTGTACGTAGTGCGCACGCGCCCTCCGGATTAATGTCAAGGCACAAAATTGGCGCTACAGCGTTTCGAGCTCTCCTCCGGTAAGGATATTCTCCACAAGGGTTTTATTTCCCACTTTCGTGCCTAATTGGTTAAAGTTTCTGGAACTTGTGCGGGGAACCAGTGGGGGTGTGTGTGTGTGGGGTTCCTGGGGAAGTCTCCGCTCAGTCACAGCAGCCAAAGGAGGTTAACTAAAGGCTGAATAAACTGTTAACGTGACCAGCTTTCCTCCCCGGCTCCTTGCAGCGGCCGCCTCTGCTCTCCAGTATTGTTCCGCAGGCTTCCTAATGGCGGACGGCAGGCAATGCTGTTTTCCGCTGGAAGGAGGGGGGGTGGGGGGGTGGATGGGGTGGGAGAAGGGCCAATTTTATCCGGTTCCACCAACCATCTCTAATACCTTCATTTAATCAACCGTATAACATGTGACGTAAAGAGGATTTATTCACTTCTTACTGTTTACCACCATCACCATGGCAGAAATAATAGGCGCGTATAGCGCCCCTAGCGGTGAGCGGGTATAGCTGCCACTGATTGCGCCAGGGTGGACTATGTGCTGAAGCTGGGCTAACTTTCCAATTAAAACCCCACCGTCACAGGTATGGTCAATATAAGCCTTTCTTAGGCGAATCTCTGATCTGTTTAGATGTAATTATTATGTTGAGCAGCAGATGAACCCAATCAGGTTGGGTTATTGAGGTTATTAACGCTTCAAACGTTTTTTGTTTCTGAATGTCGGGCTACGTAGAGTGTAAAATAATAATAATAATAATTAAATAAATAAATCGCGTATGTGCGTTCATCTATAAGCAAGCTGCCTTTCTTTTCTTTTTTTTTTTTTAGCGGCGTTTTAACAATGGCGCAGTCTGTGTCTCCTCTCCTCCCCTCCATCCGCCGCTAATCCAATGGCTGTTTGCGCCAGGAAGGGCAGGGCTGGAAGCGGAACACCCTGAACCACGTTTCTCCACAAAACTTGGAACCTTTTTCTTTCCCCTTCAACTCGGGCTTATTTACGGCCGAGTTGCGCGGCTCAGGTAGTTGCGCTTTTGTGTCTTTGGATCAAAGTTTTGGAGCAGCTCTCCTTCATCGACAAGTTTATCCAGGATAAAGCGCTGAAGGGAGGGATCAATGAGGAGAAAAGCAGGAGGAGGAGGTCCCCGTTTTCTATTAATCGGGCCCCTGGAACCCATTTGGCGCTAAGGTGGTCGCTTTAGTTTCCCCTCCTTTGATGATCTTCCTTTCTCCCATTAAAGCTCATCAATCAGGGTTTTATTTGGATCTGCAAAACAGCCGCTTTGGGGGGATTTTTGTGGCTGCGCATTATGCATCATACCCTCGGTGACATAAGTCTTATATAATGATCTCACGCTTTTAATTTGAATAAGATATGCAATTTTACCCTCATTTAGCGCAAAAATCTGCATATCTCCACAAATATGCAGAAAACCCCCCAGAATGCATGAAGTGGAAGGTGCTGGAAAGGTAGAGGAGCACCTTTATAGAGGTGGTGATGTGGCCATGGAGTCTGGTTTTGTTGCAGGGAGGCGGTCTCTCCTCAGCTCCAGCCCTCCTCATCTGTCCACCTGGTGTCGACGTTGGGAGCAAGGTTATATGTCAGAGCTCATTAGTGCTGGATCCTCGTTTTTTCTTTCCTCTCATCCACGTGCGTACAGACTGTCTCCCAGCTCTGCATTGCAGTCTGAACTCAGGCAGTTTTCACCCCCCCCCCCCCCCCCCCCCCCCCCCCCGTTCATGAGATGGCTGAAAAGCTGGCGTTCATTGCTTTTTGCAGCTCAGCTTGGCTTTGAAGAGCTGCTCCACCTATCCCAGGGTTGTTGGTTTTTTTAACCACTGGTTACCATGGCATTTTCAAACACACATATATATATATATATATATATATATATATATATATATATATATATATATATATATATATATTCTACCTGAACAGATGCTGTCTGTTGACACTACCTTCATATGCAGGTGTTTCAGGGTGAAGAACATGAGTGTTGGAGTAATACTGGTTAGGAACTGCTAAAAATGGCTCAAAGATCTGGACTGCCGCTTTGTGTTGTTGTGCGCTTCCTGTTACGTGAGCAGACAGCCCGTCTTCCTCATTTAGCTTCAGGGTTTTGCTGTGAAGCAGATGTTGATTATCATTGGGTTCAACATTTTGCAGCATCTTCAGAGCTTATTAGCACAAACCACTAAAACACAAATTCAGTATAATCTGAGTAGCCTGATAAACCAAACTAAATGGGAGATTAAATGTGTAATTTAGTCTGGCCCTGATGAATGAGACATTGGAAGACTGTTGATGAGAACAACCCGTTGTTTTTCAAGCCATGTCTGTGTCTATTGGCCAACGCTCTGACCAATGAGCGCAACTGACTGTGACGTAGTTAGCGCAACAGAAAGCTGGTGGGGGAGTGCAAACAAACAGCCTGTCGTAAAACGGCGAATATGTCCTCCTTAAAAATGAATGAGCGTAGAGCCTCTTCCTGCTCCCCATGTCTAATCCTTCCAAAACTGATTCCAAAGCTGAGTCAAACGGGAACTGTTCAATAGTTGTTCCCATCTTCCTTGTTGTGTTTTTTCCAGCGTCGTGCAGCTTTGTCGTCACGCTCTCAAATCCCCGCCCACATTGCATCCAGAAATTCAAAACACATCTCTGCGTTGTGATTGGCCCGCCAGTTCTGGGGCCTGGGGCATTGACCGAGGCTAGAGCACTCACAGGCAAAAATGATTTTGGCCGCTGGCGGGTGGGGCTAGTTTACTAGGCTATAATCTGAGTGTATATTTTTTTTAACAAATACAAACAATTATCTTTACCCACTGCTTGAATAATGTGATGTTAACTTATTGGTTTTGATTCCGAAAGACTTTGATTAATGCATAAACTAAAGATACAATAGAATAAACAACTTAATAAGGGATTTCTTTTTTTCTTTTAGTCACTTTATGCATCAATCCAAAGTTGATTGATATTACTTGTTGACTAAAAATGAATTGCACTGCCCTTTTCTTAAAAACCTTGGCCCTAATCAAACGGAGACCAGTTTGGATGGTTTATTTTATAGATATAAACACCATGTTGCTGTGTCTATTTTTGGATGAGTCCACTGTTTTTGTCTGAGGTTTGAATATTTTTTTGGTGCGGTTTCACAGCGCCACCGAAAGTCCTGGCATGTGTACTACATCTTCCTTGATGCTTTGGAAATGCAGCTTTTTCTAAGACCTTGATGTAAATGTACATTCTTCGTGTATACTAGGCCTTAAGGCTGATTTTTTACTTCGAAACTAGGTCGCCTGCGTAGGTGTCGCAGTGAACAAAAAGACATCCCCGCTCCCTCCGCAGACACTCTGCTGCACCTCTCCCAAATTGTAGGTCACTGCACACAGTGCCGCAGACAGGAGGCCGGCTTGTTTTGTTTGTATGACGCAATTGCGGAAAACAACTTGTGAAGTTGGACCAGCTAGAAGAGCGAGGTGCACGAGAACGCTGGCACAATTTTTCTTTGATATGGGATTTAAATGACAGGTCCTGATCAAAAATAACACCAAGATTTTTTACAATATTTAGAAATCAGTTTAATCCCATCCAAATGAAGTGACTGGCTAATCAGCTTATTTTTCAAAGACTCTGGTCCAAAGTCTATAAATTCTGTTTTGTCTGCATTCAGAAGGAGAAAGTTAAGAGTCATCCAGGTTATTATGTCTTCAAGACATGCGTGTAATCTATGTAATGGGTTAGCTTCATCTGGATTTATAGACGGATATAGCTGGGTATCATCAGCATAACAGTGAAAATTAATCCCATGCTGTCTAATAATTCTAGCAGCTTGGAGCAAAGAGAATTGGTCCTAGCACTGATCCCTGTGGTACTCCAGGTAACCTTTGAGCATGAGGAAGATTTGACATTAACATGAACAAACTGAAATCGATCAGATAGATACCTTTACCTGTACCTTTATTCCAACAAAATATTCAAGTCTTTCTAAAAGAATATTATGGTCAGCTGTATCAAATGCAGCACTGAGATCCAACAGGACGAGCACAGATACAAGTCCATTATCTGGGGCCACGAGAATATCATTAGTGACTTTCACCAGAGCTGTTTCAGTGCTATGATGAGCTCTAAAGCCAGACTGAAGCTCTTCAAAAAGTTCATTATGGTGTAAGTGATCACACACTTGTTTGGCAACTACTTTCTCAAGAATTTTAGATAAGAAAGGAAGATTGGATATAGGTCTATAATTGACCAAGTCATCTGAGTCAAGAGACAGTTTCTTAAGCAGAGGTTTAATTACAGCAACCTTAAAAGCCTTAGGTACATCTCCCTGTAACAGAGATAGATTAATCACATCTAAAATGAAGGAGGAGATCAAATTGAATATCTCCTTAAATAACCTGGTTTGAACTGGATCTAACATACAAGTTGAAGGCTGAGATTAGGACAATAGTTTTGCTAACTCTGAAAGTTCAACTTGATCAAAGCAGTCTAAACCCGGTTCAGATTCTATGGCTACCTCAGATGCTGCTTCACCTTCCAGAGACAAACCAATCGCAGATAGAGGAGTGCTAATGATCTTATTTTTAATAAGATCAATCTTATTTATAAAGAATCCCATAAAATCATTACTGCTAAGAGCAGGTGGGATGGACGGTTCAACAGAGCTATGGCTCTGGGTGAGTTTGGCAACTGTATTAAAAAGATATCTATGATTATTCTTATTCTCCTCTATTAATGAGGAGAAATATGATGCTCTTGCTTTACAAAGGGTTCTCTTATACAGCAGTAAACTATTTTTCCAGACTGGGTAGGACTCCCGTAGGCCTGTTGAGCGATATTTTCTCTCCAGTTTCCTAGCATTTTGCTTCAAAGTGTGCAGCTCTGCATTAAACCAAGGAGCAAGCTTTCTAATTTTTTATTTGTATGACCGCCATTGCAGAAAACGACTCGTGAAGTTGGACCAGCTAAAAGAGTGAGGTGCGTGAGGACACTGGGACCCTTTTTCCACCTAGATCCCCGCTCTTTTTCACCCTCATGTCCCTCCTTTGTCGCACAAACTTGCCCCCACTTCCTCACCGCCTCAGCAGTATCTAGACCCACACCTGATTGTCCCTCTTGCATTGTGGCGTGGAATAATATAGCACAGACCACGCTTCAATATTGAGCATAAATCAAAAATATCTGCGACAAGCTTTAGTTTACATCGCTAATGCAGACTAATATAAACTCTTGCTTTTCATATGGTATTATAGGCTGTTATTAGCTGGTCGATCAGTATGTATACTTCCTGAGGTAGCAAGCATGCAGCCAACATAGATGACATTTTATGCTTGCTGGGGAGCATTTGGTTTGTGCTTTTTGTGCTGCAGATTTGACTGGGAGTCTTTCCAGACTGACGAGCTGTGTATTGAACACACATGGTGGACGTCAGTCAAGATGTTTTTTGGTTGTATTATTTAGTTGCTGCGTCGTTGCTTCTAAGCAATAAATCACATGAGCTTAAAAATTTGGTTGGTTTTTTTCACCCCTTTAATTGGTGCAACATTTGGAAGAAAAATATTGGGGCTGAGCAGCAGAGTTGCAGCCATTAAAAAAAACCCAAACACTTTCACCTGTTTTTGCAGGTTGTTAGCTTTGTTTATTGAATCAGATTACTAAATTTTCTACTGTTTCTTTCTCCTAACAGCAGATAATAAACCAGCAATGCATGGATTTTCCACAACCACATCTTGCACATCAATATTGGAAGGCCTCCCAGTTGGAGTTTGTGTTTGATTAGGTAAAACGGCTGTATGAGTTACTTTGCTGCAAACTGCATGCTAAAGCTAACCCCTAACCCCCCTGGTATTCAGTAGGGTTGGGGACAGGGCTGCATGCAAGTTAACCCCAGGCTGTGGGGCATGCATTGACATCTTAGGAGACAGAGGTAGGAGATATTGGATTGCCACTGGTTGCAGACTCCTATTTCAATATCTCTCAGCATTTAGATGACCTCCCAAGCCTTTGTGAGGGACATGCAGCTCCTTCAATTCACACTCTGACCCTTCCCCCACATGAGGGGGAATCCTGCTTTGTCCTTCTGGTCAGCCGGCTGAAAGGAAGCTAAAACACTTACGACCTTATGCAAATTAGAAGTATTTCCAGAACATGTTTCTTCATCAGAGGCTTTAGTAAATTCTGTTTAT